AGTAAGGGGTGTTATGGACGGTACAGAGGCGGAGCGTGTCTGTCAGTCATGCGAAGTCTTTTCCTCGGGTTGTGATGACAGAGGCTCGGTCATCACCGAGGTTCGCGTGAGCAGAAAGCCACTAAGACCGCTAACACACAGGTATGGAAAGAAATATATAATATTAAGTTTACATCCATCGACAGACATGCAGACAGACATGCAGACAGACAGACAGGGAGACAGACAGGCCAGCAAGCAACCTCACCCTCTCTCCTGCTCCTCGCCGTGGGCTTCGATATTTTGTAATGTTAGCCCTTTCTTAAACACTTCTGACCACCTTCTCCTTTAAGATGCACACACACATACACACACAAAAAAACACTGCCCCCTCCCCAGCCCAAACCCCTCCCTTTCCCCTCCCCACCCGGCACTCGTTTACCTCAATCACGGTGTTCGCCAGCACAACGCCCAGCACAGCCAGAACCTGAGCCAGTGTGTACGTTCCCAGGACAGAAGAAAACCGCGCGCAGTACGTCACCTCGCCGTACATTCCAGCGTTAAGTGCCGCCCGACAGAAGCACTCGTAGCACACGGTCGTCTCCTCACAATCCAACTTATTGTGCAGCGCACCGGTACCGGATACCGGGTCACACTGCTTGTACAGCTCCCGGTTGGCGTTGCTGAGCACATAGTTCCCGGTGCCGTCCTGAAAACATGTACGGATGTACGGATGTACGAATATACGGATTTACGAATGTACGGACGTGCAGATGTGAGGTGATCAATGATATTACGGTTTTCCAATGATTACGAAAAGAATCCGCAGTCAGTTAAAAGCCGCGCGCCCCTCAGTGCTCCTCAGCCCTCCTCCGCCCTCCCCAGTAGTGCCCCTCAGTCCTCACCGTGTAGGAGCACGCCGCTGTGCACTGGCTACGCGGGGGTCCGGAGCCCTTGGCCGCAATGCCCATCCGCAGTGCGGGGGCCAAGCTGACCAGCAGGAAGCCGACCAGCAGCACCAGGTACTTGGCTGCAGGGAGGGGGGGGGAGGTGTCCCGGAAGTGGTATGCAGGGGTGGGGGGTGGGGGGTGAGGGGTGAGGGGTGAGGGGTGAGGGGTGAGGGGGTGTAAGAATAAAAAGCGGAGGTTAGGAGAAGGGAAGGGAAAGGGGGGAGGGAAAGTGTCTAAAGAATGCCAGGAAAAATGTGTTACAGACGTCGTCACACAATAGACTTTTGTGCGTAGCTTTTAACAACCTTTGTGATTATAGAAATTTGTGAAGGGTTCGTTAAGGGGAAGGGGGTGCGTACGGATGTGTTATGGTTAGGTGCCGTACCTACCTGTATTCGTGGCAATGGACCTGACTATCCGCTCCCCGCGGCTATATTCTAGATTCTCGTACTTGATGTCGGAAGGTTCCGGAGCGGGACTTACATTCAGCGCCACGGGCCTTATCCGGGACCTGACGAAGGGGGGGAGGGGGGAAAGTCGAACCACACACGAGGAAGGGAAAGGGGGGGAGGGGGGGAGGGGGCATTGCGAGGCAGGAGGTCCGGCGGTTGGGGGTTTAGGGTAGTTGAGGGTAGTTAAGGGTTGAGGTAAAAGGTTGGGGGAGAAGGATTAAAGGAAGGGTTTAAGGGGTGGGGTGGGTGTTCGAGCAAAATCGTAAAAGCGTGTCCTGAACACGCCTTCCACACACACACACACACGCGACCATTCCCTCTCCCCTTTTTCCCTGTACCCCCCAACGAACCCCCAAAACACATGCACATACACGGCCCGGCCCCCGTATACACTCACATTCCTATTCCCCCGTTATTGAACTTCCTCTCCGGCTTCATCCTCCATTGCTTCATCAGGCTCCTGGGCAGGGCCCGCAGCACCCGCTGGCGGCCCTCGTGCGAGGAAAGCGTTACGAAGGCCGTCACCACCTGATGTGGGGGGCCCCACGGGGATGGGGGGGGAGGGAGGTTGGGGGGCAGAGCAGGCCGGGGTTTGTGAAATGAATGGACAGGGTCGCATCAAGTGGGAACCCCACCCCA